CGAAAAAGTCAAATTTTGCATCAGTGTAATGCAGACCATTCAACGAGGTAACTGAGTTGTAAGAGCAGAAAGGCTTCAGATGCGAGAGAAAGTGCTTCAGATGCGAGAAAAAGTGCTTTATTTTTCCGGATGTTTGAGTATTCAAAATAACGACTATAAGGTGGCTTCGTTCAAGATGAAATTCAATATGGGAGGTATTAGCAAAAAGAAAATCGTCATTAGCAGCGATATTGCTCTTGGTCCATTTTTGCTGAACGTTCTAGTAACACATATTCAACAGCTTGCGCAACTCGCCACCCTATCAGAACGTTGCGTAAATAAACCGTCACCTTTCGCCTCTCATATTTCCTTACTCTTCTCTAACCCGCAGCCTACCACTTACTGTTTTTTTTCCCAAGAAGTCACCAAGTGAGAACACCGCTACATCTAATTACATCTTGGCTTCATTTTTTGTGAATGCAAATCATTTAACGCGCCGAGTCAGTTGTGCGAGCAGAAAGGCTAAAGCAAACCCCACACGCATCAATATTTTGACGCGAAGGGGAATTATTGACAATAATATTGATGATGTGAATTCAGAAATATTGTCAATCTCGATATATTGACGTCAATATCGAATGTATTGACAATACGATTATTGTCAATAAAAGTAATCGTGTAGGGTCCACTTAACAGATTGTTTGGATGCGGTTTTCAACAAATTCAGTTTTTGATAAATTTTTGACCTTTTCGGTTTTCGGTAATCTAAGTCTGAAATTTAGATGGTCGAAAAATCTAATGCTAGTGAATTAATCTACAAAAAAAATCTTTTTTCATCTTCTGCATCTAAATCCATCTACTCGCATCGCTCTCCACCTTTTTGCAGGAAATCTTCAAAATCTTCATCTATCGTTTCAACCAGTTGGCTTCGGATACGGTTGTATCTAAAGTTTGCTCATAGTTTTCGGCTGCATTTTCCGGATTAGCGCTGGCACTCTGCCTCCCGGACGGTTATACGTGTGTGATTGGTGGTTTTCTCGCTTTCCGAGAAGTTTTAGAATCGAGAAAGAAAACATGATTCATCGTGTTTGCAAGCATCAGAAGATTTGGCGCTATATCCGTTGTTTGATTTAATCTCCTGGACCAGAAATTTGTAGCATCGCGAGTGATTAATTTCAGTCTATTTACGCGGTGATGATGTTGGGGTTTTGCTTTCGCTGGCGCTGATTTTATGTGTTTTTGCATATTTTTTAATTGTAACAAGTCAAAAATTAAAATAAAAGTTTTCGCGTGTGGATAAGTGTAAATTAAGATCTATCATGTTTTAAGAAGTTTTTTTTTAGTGATGTTGTAATTAATGTGAAAAGAGTTTTGAATAGTTTTGTGTCACCGTAACGAAGAAGATGGGAGTGGCCGGCAATGGTAATTGTCATGCTTTTCCTGTTATGAACTTTGAGTGGAGAACTATTCACTCCCAAAAAGTTTTCCTTAAGCAATCAGAATAAGAACGTTAAAGTTGATACATGACAGTTGCCAGTATGCAATCTACGAATTACTCCGTTACACACGCACTCACGCAAATCTTCAAAATCTTCATCTATCTATGCGTACATCTCACAAAAGCTAAGTAAAATTGTTTCTGCATCTTAGATAGAGCCCCCCCCCCCCCGGTTTTCGGCCTTTCCGGTTTTCGATCTTTTTGGTTTTCGGCCTTTTGTGTTTTGGCCTTTTGTGCTACGGCCTTTTGTGCTTCGGCCTTCTGTACGCGTCCCTTTAAAAATGAATTACAATGAGTAATACCTCACAGAAAGCGTAGTTAATCCTTAAATGAGATAGCGGGCCCAAATTTTGCTGTTAGGAAGAGTAATCAGTGTCTGGTCAATTTGTTTACGTTTGTTACATACGATCTATTCAAATTGCATTCCAGAAATTTTTGTTCAGCGTAAGGAAATATTGATACACTTTGTAGCTTATGAAAACACTTTCCTGTTGACTTGAAACGATGATTAATGTGAATTTAGGTGCACTTGCAGTGTAGCTGCGAAACTTCGCGTTTCAACTGCTTAAGAGAAACGAATAAAAAGCGAACCACAAGAGAGTCATGCAACGCTCATGCACTGATTTGCTATGTTTACCAATTTGACACCGAGTGGTGACTACGACGTGTCTTAGTCAGACCTAGGTTATAGCTATGCTAGCTGCAAGTTGCAACAAGTTTATTTTTTAAGCATGTAAAACAAACTCTATTTGTAGTAGAGATCATTAGTATCTGTTAGTATCCTGGAAACTGAGACGGATTTAGTATACAAGGTATTAACAACAATCAATTCGAAACTAATGAGTTTAAATTGGCTCACTACACTAGGCTATTAGTCCCAAACAAATCGATTAACGTACTCCATTCTAGTATAAATTCCAGTATAACACTATGTTTGTTTTGATTCGCTATGAAAGTTTGACAGATAAAATGAGAGGTTCGTGGATTTTCCTATGTTTCGAGGGGTGCATCGATTAGCTTGGGATCGAAGAGAGTACCAGAGCTGAACCAAAAAGTTGAGCTCGTTTCTTCGGGCCCTTCTGGTCTTAGAGTTACCTCTATGGTATTAAGATTATAATGGCACTATTTAGGTCAACATAATATTTCACATAAAACGGCTTTAAGTACTTAAAATAAGATTTTTTTTTTCCTTGATTTGTTTTCCGTCGATCTTGTTTTCCGTGCTGAGCACCAATACTACCGACGCCAGGGAGGCAGCTTCCACACCTGGACTTACCTATCGACCCATCAACTCATGAACCGGGGACCAACGGCTTTACTTCCCTTCCGAAGGCAGGCGTGATCAGAGATGTTATGCCTCAGAACATCCCGGCGGCTTTAAAATAAGTTATAATTAATAACAATATTGAAATGCTAATTTTGAATATTTTTTTTTGAACTTTTAGATTTCCATAGGCAATAAAAAATCTTGAATTTTCCATAAATAATCCAAGAATTGCCATTTTTTGCAATCTTTTATGTAGAGATATTTCCATTGCTAGTTTTGAATTGATTGGATTTCTTTGTTTAGGGGATTTTCAGCCGGAAATTGTTGAATTGTCTGTTGCGACTTTTCAATTTTTAGTTTTACCGGTAAACAAGTTATTATGTATTGCAAATTTTTAATTTTCAATTACTACTTCCAATAGTTAATTGCTGTTTAGGCTGTGAACCATTTGCCGAGTTAAAATTAACTCGAAGGACATTTCGAAAGTTATTATCTATGTTCGAAAATCGATCGACCGGTGTTCGAGAAGAACTTAGCCAAGGTTGTCAAAATTTAACTTCTTGTCTGTCAGAAGTAACCACGCTCGGATAGCAGGGTTAATCGATAACTTTCCATCTGTCAAATGTTAACCAAAAGTTGAAATAATTCACCAAATGGTTCAGAGCCTTTTTTATCTTTATTAAGGAGATTTGCAGCCGTTGGCTGGCTCGTCTCCGATGGTTCAGAGCCTTAGCATGCAGCGTTATTGGTAGTTTCGGCCATTTCAAGTGCAAAATGTGAATGTTTTAGGTTTCGTGTCGTTTGTATTTTTAGAAAGAAAAAAATCATACCGATTAATACATATTCAGCCATCTGGGCTGTACTTCAACGGAATTTGAGAGAACAGGTCATGATTAAAAGATGGGACAAAAAATTTAATTATTATTTTCCCTACTTTTGATCATGATGTGTTCCAAATGGCATTATGCCAAGTGGGTTAGAGCCGATGGTGATTATTTGGCTAATTCGTCGTACTTAATCTGTATATCAGAGCTATTTTATGCTAATATAGCAGCATTATTAGCCAAATGGAAGTATATACATTTACTACGCCCATCTTTTTTTTTACAAGGCAGAGAAAGTTCTAGTTCCAAAGAATCTCTAACATCAATTCGACTAAATATTATTCTGCTATTGATCCTATTACTTTCATAAGATGAAAGCATATCGTTTAATTTAAACGTCACGAATTTACTCTAATCAGCGTTTAACTTGTCGCTTTTCAGCCTTAAATTTGGTTCTCGAATATACAATGCAAATTGATTCTTGCCACAGCAATCATCTACGATATTCATCTAGCAAACCCAGACTAGACCTGATCGTTTCTTCCCTTGGCTCTCCCTTCCATTTTCACTTATTTGCCGCATATTAGTAAAAGTTGTAAAGGTATTTGTCTGAACGAATCATAATCCTGTGATGAACTAAAAAGAGAGCGAGGGCAACAACATCGCTATATAAAACTGAACACATTTCATTAGATACGTCTCTACATGCTGTCCATATATAACGTAACAGTATCAACTTGTTCGTCCTCTTTGCAGTCTATCCATCGGGCAAATAAATTCTAGATTTGTGAGAGAATAAATTCTAGCACGCGTATGGTAACGTCTTCTACCGCCACGCAATAACATCAATATAATAAACGAAAGCCAGAGGGGGTAGCCGTAGGAGGAGGAGAACGCGATACCCTGCTAGGATTTTATTACTCTCACTTTCTTTGCCGTCGTTCGCTGTAACGGTATATCCTTGTAGATGTGATAGCCACGGGATGCACAGAGAAGCATATCACAAAACCAAAAAGTGGCGTCAGAAACATGTGCTCTCCTCTGTGCGCGTAGATTTAGTTTCAGTTCAGTTTTGATAGCTGTGGAATATTGCACAAAACAATACCATTTCTATACGCAAAAATGAGTGTTTGTGGTAGGGTTTCCGAACGTCCGGCTTGTGCTATTGATTATTTGTTTTGGTTTGCATTCGGTGATCAACGCAGGGCAGACTGTTGAAGTTGAAGTGTGATTGAACTCGGTTGAAGATGAAACACAAGAGTCACAAAAAGGATAAACGCGAAAAGAAACGCAAACGGGAGCGCACTGATGACGAAGTGTGTAGATAGGCACATACCTAGTTAGAATATTTACATGAATGAACATCACGTCGATGGCTGCAGGTGATTGATGTTTTTTTTTTTAATTTTCTCTTCATCAATGTTCGTCCTAGGCTAAAACGGAACCAAGCTCTCCTCATCACCCGAGTGGTGACACCAACATTCAAAACGTGAGTCCAAATTTGGTCCAGTCTCACACGTCGAACATCGTCTCATCATCAATTAAACATCAACAACAGGTAAGGCTGCCTATGCTTGATTTTAGCGTTATTTATTAACAGACATTCCATAAATAAGCAGACAGTATGGTGACTAAAAATGGAGTTTGAATCAAGTGGAATAAACGCAATCTGCATGGACAATAATTTTGATTTTCTCATGTTTGGTTTTGAAGATCAATATTCAATTATTAATGTTATGGTATACTCAATAATAGGTAGTTATGACATTGGTTTAATTTAACGCAACACAAATAATTCGTTACTTGGTCGTGTAGATTTTAGTATAATTTACAAATTTTAGAGTGATGGTGTTAGGGGATGTATCCGTCGTAGTGTTTAGCATCCATGCCTCGTACGCTAAATGTCACGTGTCTCATCCCGGACAATAATGTGTTAAAGTGATTGTTTTATAATACAAAAAATGAGGGTGTCTGCAAAAAGTATAGGTGAAAACCGAAAATGAATGAGAGTAGTTGAAGATAAGATACGACTTATTCCGTGGTTTTGCAAAAAAAAAACAAAATGTAATATTTTTTTCAATTTGGAATTATTTTCATTTACAATATAATAAAATCATTTTGTTTAAATGAACTTTAATTTTCTTTTCATGTCATTTCTGGAATAATATTTGAAATGGTCGGGTCTGATACGTTTGGCACTGGACACTTAGCATAATCGATTAGATTTGTTGATAATTGTTCATTCTTTGTATTGCTGCTCGTTCATTCGAAAAATCCAATCTGGTTTTTCGTTTGTTTCTTGTTTCAAATACGACGTGTTCTTCTACTAACTTTTAAGACTCGGAAGAACAGCTCATGTTTGAAAGATGGAAAAATCTGCTGCAACAATATTATCCAAAGCTCATACATGTTGAGCAGGCTGAGCAGTTATAAAACGTTATAAGCGGGAGCGGGACATTCAGCCGAAGGACATTTCGCCGAAGGACGTTTCACCGTATGTAATTTCGCAGAATGGGTCATTTCGCCGAAGAACAAGCCCTTTTCTGCGGTTTTGAATTTTTCTCAGTAAATTTGAATAAAGATGAACTAGCCTAAGGCTAAAAATCTCTAAAATAAAGATAAAAAAAAAGTAAATTTGAAATCAGTCTCGAAAAAAGATTAAGAAGGTTCGATTTTTTCAACCTGGCAAACTGTTCAAATGTAATGCTGCCTTCATGTTTAAATGAGCAGTTCTTTCGAGTTGTACTGATTTCAGAAATTTTTAAATCAATATTTTTAATTTATAGGAATGCTTCCGTCTTTTAAACATGAGCAGTTCTTTCGAGTTGTACTGAATTCGAAATTTTTTAAACAATCAATGTACAGATATACCTCGATATAACGTAACTGTCACTTTTGACTTCAATCTTAATAATCTTCGTCAATTTCTCGCTTATAACAATTTAATCATACAAACTAATATTACCAATAATTGGGGAATAATCTCATCTGTCCGATGGTGATATTACTTTGCTTGTTTGAACGATAATTTGCTTGAAATCGACGATGGAAATCAAAAGTGACAGTTACGTTATATCGAATACCTGTATGCCTCAAATAACAATGGTTTTATTATACTGTTGTAGATCATGACTAGATCTTGAAGTTTTACAGATTCAACAATGTATTGCAGGGTGTTTCGACTAAATTTGTGAACCTAAAATGCTTCGTAGAGCCTCATGTGGAATAATAAGTTGTAATGACAAAATACGTTGGGCTCTCTAAGTTATCCCGGGGAATTGGGTCCTGATGTTCTACAGACTCAACAAAGTTTTGAATTAGGTCTAGATTTATTATATGAATTCAAGAAGCTCCGTGAGACCTCGTCACATTAAGTGAGATAAGAAGTTGTATTAACAAAATATGTTCCATTCTCCAAATTGTCCTGGAGCTTCGATCTTAAAGGGGTCCCTAATAAATTTTTTATAGTTATTTTGTTTAACGACGTGTTCAGGGTATCATCCAAACCATTTGTGGTTAACGTTCGGGTATGGTATTTTCTTATTAGGGTCTACAGATACAACAAAGTTTTATACGATGTCTCGTCTAAATTTGAGAATCCAAAAAGCTTCGTGGGGCCCCATATTATCATGTGGAATATGTAGTTATAATAACAAATTTTTTTTTGAATATGTTATTCAGAGGTTTGAATCTTGAAGTTCTACAAGCTCAACAAAGTATTGTATTATATCCAAGTTTCTTATAGGAATCCATAAAACTCAATGCGACCGACCTCATCACATCATATGACATATGAATTTGTACTAAAAAATATCTCTGATTATTCAAATCAAATCTTGATGTTCTACATATTCAACTACGATATCTCGACGAAAATTCAGAACCTCTCGCAAATATCCTGATCTTGACGTTCAACAGGTTGTCCATAGAGCGTTTGTCTGATAGATTTGTGAAACTTTATCCTGAAGATTTATGCGACTCTATAGTGGCAGTAGTCATGATTCCATGCTGGAATATCTTGTGTGGACCATATTATCTAGCTTTGTATCATCCTGAAGAAGAGCAACGAATTTCAAGTTACCCTGTATTAGATATTCATTATGATATTAAAAACGCTTTCGATTTACTCAATCGCGAGAACTCTTTTACAGCGGTCCTCACTGGTACCTACTTTCGTAGTCTACCATAGTTCCCGAGATAGTCCGCTGAAATCGATACACCTTGAATGAATAATCTGCTATGCACTTAAAAGCTGCAGGTGTTTATGAACTGATGCCTGTAGTATATTCTTGGTAGCCTCACAACTGGATCTCGAATGATTGATCTTCATCTTCGATGTTAAAAAAAGAGCTGAAACGAGATATGGATTGGAACCTGGCAGGAAATCGCAGTAGAGGCAAACCCACTGGACCCTCAACAAGAAAATGAAGCAATTCGATAAAATAGTTTTGATTCTTCAAACCATTTTAACTAAACAACAGAGAGGGTCCATGAAGATCTGCGGCTTCAAAAAAGTTGGTAGTAACATCGTACAATATCTCATAGAGTTTGTGGAATCTCACGATTTGAGCTCCAATATGAATTTAAAAAAACTTAGATATTTTTTAACACATCTACGTAACTCATAATACGATTTGGTCCTAAGTAGCTCCATGAATTAAAAAAATAAGTCAGCGCATCGTACAAAACATTGGTTTAGCCTGTAGAACTTCAAGATCTGAATATTAGGATGATTTGGATGAATCGAATTATTTTATCGAATTTTCAATCAAATTAATAGAAGCATTAAAATGTATCCTATAAAAAATTCAATTGTTTTTTTAATAACTTGATGTGTATTATTTGTAAATCTTTGAATAATTGACCGGGAAAATTTGTAATTTTAAAATGGAAATTCAGTTGCCACCCTGCCTTTGGCATAATTGTCACAAATATCATTGGCTCAACCGAATTAATTTTACAGAACCGAGGATTCTTGTTCACTATACAATACATCTTAAAACTATAGTGAAAAGGTACAACACAATAAACATTTTATCTTCCGCTATCCAATAAGCCCCTTCCACCACAACGGGAGCCGCTTCCAGTGGTTTCATTGTATGGCAGATTTGCCAACGGGGTTCAGAGCGCTTCCACTGCAGCAATGGACGTAAAACGTGCCCGCATAAACAATAACCATAAGAAGTGCCTAACCACCAATTCGGGATATCATCCCAACTTTATGTGGTAGGGTCGTACCATCTATGATATCGTTAGTGTATGATAGCCGTTTATTAGGGTGGTCAGCACTCACACATTTATCACGAAACGGTTGATTTCCAAAGTCGACGACACATCAACCGAAAGAACTGCTGATGAAGAAGAATGAGGAGAACCACACAATGGTTGCTGCTGCGTAAACAGGCGATCCCGTGACACATATTAAGAGTGGTCTGCTTCTGTCGACAGCCGAGTGAACACTGAGGCTGTGAACCATTTGCCGAGTTAAATTTAACTCGTGGTTAAAAGTGACATTTCGAAAGTTATTTTCTATGCTCGAAAATCCCCGTGCTGTCGATTTACCGATTTTTGACCCACGGTTGTCATAAGTTAACTTATTGTCTGTCAGAAATAACCATTCTCGGATAGCAGGGTTAATCGATAACTTTTCATCTGTCAAATTTTAACCAAAAGTTAAAAAAATCCACCAAATGGTTCAGAGCCTGAATAATTCTTTAGGAAGAGGGAATGTATTGTCTATGTTTACTTCTATGCTTATAAAGATTATTTTGAGCAACAGTTTCGCAAATCAGCAATTACTATTAGAGATTTGCATCTTACTGATACCGGTGGTGATATTGGACTCTTTCACTCGAAAGCAAAACATATTACAAGCCCATCATGAAGTTAGATTGGATGTGTGTGTGTGTGTGTAATTTCTCCTGTGTTTCTGTTTGCGTGGTAACGATTGAAATATAATGAAAATGACCTCGAGTATGATATCGTCCTATTCCATCGGCTTATCATCTAAGAGGAAGAGAAGATAACTGGCTTCTAACTCTTGTATCTCTATCTATCTCTATCTCTACCTTACGCACTTCAAATCAGCCAATCACGAGCTGGTTCGCGTTTGACAGAAAAAAGTGGTTCGTTTTCGTCCCCGTTTTGGCGTTGACGGCGCCCCTGTAGCTCTTTACTCCAATGGTAAAATCCATAAGCAAACGTCAGACTGTGTGTGAAACATGGCGAACTTCGTACTATCCTTTCATCCACGGAAAATTCCCATAAGAAACTGTCAATCTTTGCTAGAAAAGAAGATTTTTCAACGGTGCCGTCAACGCCAATTATTGTCTCCTCTTCCTCTTAGTTTATCATCAACGTCCGCTCTGACATCTGTCATGCTGTCACCTTTCAGTTATTGAGACCTGCTGGTAAAGTTGGTGGGGGATTCCCAACAGTTTTAATGTGCACTTACCAGATGGCACTGCGATTACCTAAGGGTGGTGTATCCATTGCCTTGTTCGAGGAAATTGATTAGTGGGATATCTTGTTAATTAGATATATTTGGTTAATGTTACCTCTATTTTGCGTGGCATCTTTTAAACATGAACAGTTTTTTTTTCGAATTTAATATTATTGTTATGACTACCGATGGAATATTTTTTTACACTGCTCATGGTTTAGTAAAATGGGAATCCAGATTTTCGTCGATCTAAGAGTTCTAATATTTTGTAATCTAAATAAGCTATACATATATTATAAAAATAGTAGTGAATTTTCACATTAATATTAAGTTTTCCGTTTGTTCAGTGTAACAAAGTTTTAAAACATATGTGATCAAAATCAAGATACGATCAAAAATAGACGAGCATGTCATCATGAGGAAGCGCGTCAAATATGGTACCCTCACTTTATATTCGAAAATGTCTATAAAATATCACATATCCGTCATTCAATTTTACAACAATTGTTCGTCTGTTTTTCTCTCTTTTCAGCCGAACTCACCTCAGCTTCAACAACAACAACAGCAGCAGCAGCAGCAGCAGCAGCATCCACAACAACATCAACATCAACAACAACAACATCAACAACAACAGCAACAACAACAACAACAACAGCCACAACCGGGCCAGCAACATACGCCTAGCCTTGTGGTGTCCGTTCCGTTGTCGACAGCTACCGTACCTGGTGTGAATTTACCTGCTAATAATAATGGTGGTAGTAGTAGTAGTAGTAGTAGTAGCAATATCTGCAGTGCAAGTACCAATGCTTCAACTAGTAGCGCTAACAGTAACACGCCGAACATCGTGTCGCCTGGTCAGATGGCTTCTGGATCCAGTCTGTACCAACAGCTGACACAGCGAACTGGCGATCAGCTTATGGTTGGTATCGTTGAAACTATCCACTGCGACAAATATCGTTTTAATTTTTACCATCCCTCCACATCTCAGAGTGCAGCTACTAACCGGGCCAGTCCTGTGATACAACAACAACTGAGTGCGTCGAGTCACGTAATACAGAATCCCGCTCATTCGATACTGGAACGACAGTCACCTTCGATGAGATTGTCACCTGCCATCATCTCTAGCGCTGGATCGCACCAACATCAGCTACATCCTTTCTCCACCGGAGGAATGGAGCTGACCCCGAGCAGTCTCTCGTCCAATGTGTCCGTACTACAGAGCATTTCACCTGTGCCGATGAGTGCCATACAGAGTACGTCATCGTCGCCAATCATTCCGGGAGGTGACAGCGGTCTCAAGATTACCTTCGAAAAGCAAACAACGAATGCGCGGATAGCTGCCATTCAGGAGGAGGAACTTTCCGGAAGGAGATCAAGGTAGGATCGACGTTTAGTTCACTTTTTGTTTTGTTTATTTTCTATGATTGGTACCTATTTTTGGTCGTTTCGCTTGTAACTAGTTTTCCTTTTGTAAATTAGCTTCTGGGAGCTTGAAATCAGCAAGAGATCAAGTTAGGCCGCGTTAAAAATTTACGTTTTGTTGTTGTTGCATACGCAGAACAGTTTGCTATTTGTCTATAAAGAAATAATTTTCATTTTGAGTAAGTTGTGAAAGTATAGTCATCAAATTTGTGCTTAAACAGAGAAACTAAATTACCCAAACAACTTTAACTGGTGATTTGCGTTATCAAGATTCCCCATACTCAATTGGTATATAAGTTACCTATGTACACACTCAGAATTTATTGTCGTTTTCCGTATTTTTTTTACTGAAATCTCAACAGCTGAAAGTTCCGTAAAATTTTGACCTTCATTTAAAAGCCTATTTTGCTCAAACTTAATTTCAAACCACATTTAATCTTGTTTAAGTGTTCAAATCTTGTAATTGTAGTGCAGATTTCGGTTGAAAGTAGCTTTAAAACAATTAAATTGAATTGTCTTAATTTTACCGAACAGTTTAGCTGCTGAGATTTCGGTAAAAATTACTGAAGTCGGCAATATTTTCTAAGTGTGTAGATTTACATGTATCATGATTTACATGATACATGTAATACAGTGACTGAACCTGATTTTCCGGATTGCGTACTTTTTAATCAGGCATTGTTGAATTATCAAAAAAAAAACGAGTCTTTTGCATCTAAGCGAAGCTTACTGCCCACAAAAATAATTTTTATGGCTCGTTTTAATTTGTCTAAAATGATTGGAAAACGATATCTATCAACAATCAACGAAAATCTGTTTTTTCCTTAGGTTTCTGAGAAATTTAAATGTAAAGCTATTTGTTCTATTTCATAATGAAACAAATTGGGATTTTAAACAAAATCTGCGTTTTTTTAAAGTCCAACTTTTTGATGATATAGAAAAATGTTTTGACTCGTAAATTTTACTTTTCCTAATTATGTATCTATTACTTAAGGTTCTACAAAGGGTAATTAAATTTGTATTCGTCTTCTTTTTGAAATATTCTTCAATCGTCATCATTGGTTTACACATACATTCTCATATTATTAATACAAAAATTTAACACTTTCATGATTTTAGGACGAAAACTTCCTGGGTAAAATATCACTGTATTTACTTACTTGTGTTCTTCGAAGCTTAGTATAATAACACACAATCGAATACACAAAATCCAAAACAACTGCTACTCAAAACTCTTGGTGAACAAAATTGAACACCAAGAAAACCACTTCAACTTTACGGCACTCGTAAAAGTATCATTGAAAAAGCGTTGCCAGATGTATTGCCTCTAGCAATGGATTTAAGTTTATTAAAACAAGCAATTCCGGAGTGATTTGAGATTTGGGCGTAATTGCTTTTGTAAACAATCAGGTCAATTACTGATTTCTCTTGAATAAAAGCTCAATCTCACAAACAAACTATACCAAATGATAGAGGAATTATTCCTCTACCTCATAGTGTTATTGCTTTTCGAGATTGAGCTTTATTCGCGAGAAATCGGTGATTGACGTGTTTGTTTACAAATGCAATTACGCCCAAATCTCAAATCACTCCGGAATTGTGAAGTTTGACTCATTAATATAGATGAGTGGATGTATTTAATGGTGAATAAATATCAGAAACTGAGTAAATAAAACAAAAACGACCATTCTAGGCATTTTACCGGTCCAATTTAAAAATCCACAGAAGATTGAATTCAACACTAACAGGGTTGATGGCAGCAGTGCACGTAGCCTGGTATTCGCTTTCCCGCTCAGGGGTGTAAACAAACTTGCATACAGCGAAGTCTGGCATAACCATTTCAGTTAAAGTTTAGCAGGGATTATAAACAATTTTTAACAATTTTAGGTAAGGTCAATTTATGGTTCGCGTTTATGCGGGTACCTAAAAGTAAAGATGGACGAATTATATATTATATTTGAGAGTATTGCAATCGAACCGAAATTCAATCACCTTTATGTTTCGTGTGCCTCTCAAATTCAACTAGTATTTTTTGGAATCAAAAACAATATTCTAACTCTATTGATTAATTGATATTAGTTGGTTAATTAATGGCACCAAGAAATGTGCAAAATATTGCGAGGCAATCAATTATTATTTTGCACGTAAATCGAATCAAAAATAAAAGTCATGTGAAATGCTGGCTTCTAGCAAGGGTTACAAGATAATTTAGGTACAAATCCCTGCTGCCGAATTGTATTTTGTTTTCTCTGCCTATCTCTCCCTCGGAGTATTTCTAGTTTCAACCTAGTAAATATCATGGTCGTCGTGTGAGAATGAAGAAACAGATCCTATCATTATCACCAAGCCTACCTATCATGAGTTTTTGAGATTATTTCTCATATATTAAAAAAAATCTAACAAATTTACATTCATATAGACATTTAGATGTATCAAACAGTTATGCAAAGTTTCATGCAAATCGGAGATGGTCGAGTCAAAAATTCATTCTTTTTTGTTATTTGGCCTGCTTTTTTCAAATAATTTCAACTAAAAACTTTCTGGGAAGTAAAAAGGGTAGTCTTTTCGTACTTTGCTTAAAATTAGTATTGTCCTGATGTCGTATTAGAACTATACATTATCAGTACAAAACAAATAGCTTTTTCATTGGTTGCTGATGAAAATTTGATCCAAAATGCTTTATTTCAGGATTAATGCATGGTCCCAATGTTAGGGACACTTAGGCTGACATTTGGGACATCAATTATATTGTCATATTTTTCTGTTAAGTTGTTGCTATTATTTTTGCCCTGCATAAAAAAAATATTATTTAAATTCGCGAAGTTGGCAATGGCCTAATAAATCCAAATACAATCGAAATTCGCTCGTTGGACTATCTTTAAGTGGGTTACGTTTTAGTTGGACTGTAGCCTATAGTCGCTATATTTATAATCTGGCGGATAGAATTTCGATCTATCAAAAGCGGGACCTATTCAATATATTGTAGACCAACAATTGAAAAGGTACTGTCAACTTTCAACGCAAATTAACAGCATCATCGGATAGGGAAAACTTTCCCCAACCTGATGATGGTGTTGGTCTGCGTGGGCGAGCCTTGAGTCACGGAAAAAGGGTTTCCGAAGTTTTGATCGCAAAAAAACGATGTGTTCTTTTCTGTTGTTGGTCGCAGGGCTGGTAGCAGGTCACTTTTTAGTGACTTGGTCACTATTTTCAAGTCAGTCACTAAAAAGTCACTTTTTTCATCAAAAAGTCACTAAAGTCACTATTCCTTAAAATTTAGTCACTAAAGTCACTTTTTAGACCAATGTTGAGAGTAAATAATTTGAGTTTAAAAACTCAGAGTAAAGTCTGACAAGAAGAGTTGCGAACATAAGGAAACGTTTACTGTTCACGAAATCTAATATTTTATTTATTTTTATCTTGAAATTGTCATAGACCTATCATAAATTTTCAGAGATTTCTAAAAAAGCTTTAGACCCAATATTCTGGCTGTTTTACATGAAGATCTTGAAAGTTATCCAAGCCTACACTGCAACTAAAAGTTACGTAAAATTCAAATGAATAGGCACGTTTATATTTTCCATCATACTTTTCAGCATGCTTTGCATTCACAGTTGTACACACCAACTGCTCATTTGTTTCACTCAGCTATTGAAAATTGATTTTCTTTAAAGTAATTGATAGATAAGGATCATAGCTTACAAGATATGCAAAGAGTAGGTAAATCTTAACATTTGAATCAACAGCAAAGAATTACACATAAAGTCCGAGATGTGCAGCGAGCATTTCTCACTTGATTTTTACAACGCAAAAACAAATACAGTTTATTACTTGAATTAAAATCTACTTTTTCTTACTTAAATTAGTTAACAAGTTATTAGCAAATGAGCAGCTCGTGACGAAAACTGTGGATGGCAAGCATGCTTTTCAGGTGAATATTACGTATTTTGGGGGAGAGATTACGTTTGAGTAATTCACATAGAAATCAATTGATTTTCACGAAAATTTTATCGGACTTTCCGATAATCTTCAAATTGGCATAACTCAAAAGCGAAGTAGATGTTACTGGATTTTGTAGTAATGATAAAGTGAATTGGTGACAGACTATAGATATATATTTCGATTTATTTGAGTCATTAAATGATTGCATTCTAGAAAAATTGAAATTCACTCATTTTCTGAAATTTTATTTTTAATTTATAAATGAGTGTTCATGCGCCTTTACCAGCATGATATGTGGACTGGACCAGTGAATCCAATGGAATTCATAGCCATGTCATTGAAGTCCTATCTTGGAGAGGTTACCTGAATTTTCAGGTAAAAATTACCTTTCTCGTTGGTTCAATGTATAACAAGCTCTCAACATTTGTTCAAAGGCCAGAAATTTGAATAATCTTTGACCCCCGGTAGCTTTAGTATCCGTGATGTTTGTTTTAGTTGGTGTGTATATATGTACATTTAATTCTAAACTGCAGTTCTTCATGTTGCTAAATGCATCGCTTCATATATATCCTATATCAAGAACAACAAGTTTTTTGTAACCAAGCTTTCTTATGCCCTTTTCTCGCCTCCCATATGACACCAACGCAAACCATCAACATCGCCGGATAGGGTAAAGTTTCCTCTTTCCGATGATGTTGTGTTTGTGTGGGCGACCCTCGGTTGGCGAGAAGAGGGTATACAAAGCTTGAATGCCCTTTTCACATGTGGCTCTTGATATCTTCAAAAAATGCTATCTAAAATCGGTACTTTGAACATTTTTCTCTGTGTCTCTATTTAGCGATCCAATAACAAATTCATGATCTGCAGAGTGAGGAAATGGAGGTTAGAATTGGAACGTGCTCTTGCTTATTCAATTCATATGTATGTTTCGATAACAAATTTATGTGATCCTTAAATCATTTATTTTTTTTTATTTTTAAAAAGCATGAAAAATACCGGAATAACGGATGATTGGAACCATATCTTTCCGATCAATAAATGTCACTATTGGTCACTTTATTTTTGTTTAAAAGTCACTATTTGGTCACTATTTTCGTAATTTTAGTCACTAAAGTCACTACTATTACATCACATACCCACTACCAGCCCTGTCTGGTCGTGACATGATCGATTTGTTCTGCTATTTGACAGTTTAATTGGTTTTCGAGATTCTATGCGCCAGACTATAAATGATGTAGCCTAAATAGCCTAAATTTATAAAGAGGCGACATGTCAAAATTGGAACAATCGATTGTCTGTCAAAGTCATAGGAAAAGTCATTCCAATCGAGCAGAAGACCTGTCAAATGGATAAGATGGTCGTCTCTTTATTGGCGTCTTGCAGTGAAACTTTTCCAAGCTTTCGCCACCTACATTTCGAAGTGAGAACTACTATAAGGAGGATAGTTTCCATATTTTCCAAGTAAAACAGACGCTTTTTGGGGCAAAACGATTAATAAAGAAAAACTAAAAATTTCCCGTGGAAACTTTTGCCTGAATCGTGAAAGAAGACGTGTTTGAAAACTTTTTGTTATTATTTCGGTACGGATCGGAGATGTTTTCATGGCAAATTATGCATAACAAGTTTGCACCCACAGGGAGAGGTTACTTCCTGCGCAGCTGCATTTTTCGGAAAATAGTGAATATGTGCGATTTTCACTAAGATGAAAGTGGAAATTAAGTGAATTTACTTAGGAAAGCTTGTATCATGCTGGTGGTAATAGAGAATTGGTTGTATAGGACGCCAATATTCAATAAATGTTCATTTTGGCCTGTTTTAAGCAAACATCTTGATACTCACAATTTTCGACGGAAAACGCTCCGGACCTTGATTTACTCAACACGCACCATACTATAAAATGGTGCTAGATGGTCTTCAAAGTGATAACAAGATGACAAATCATCTTTATTTTGAGTAATTGAGCAATTTACTACTGTTTACATCATATTTAGGATGCAGCATTGATGGAGCCGTGAAGTGAAATGAATATATCTTATGAAAGTTCACCTGGAAAAGTCAAAGATGCACATCAGTCTGATCGTAAAACGTTTTCTTCTTCAATTCGAATGTTATTTTGGAAGGATTTTACGCAGGCTTGATGAAAATTATGATTTAATGCTAATTTTCACGAACTTTATATGCAGCCTGTCAACATTATCATCATCAGCTTTTGCGGCAATCTTCCAATAAATTCAGTCTCTTTAATGTAGCCCACCTAAATCGAAGTCCAACGTCATTTCTGACAGCGCTGATGCCTTTTCGAGGATGGACAATATGGATAATTGTTAAACTTTTGATGATAATAAACATGGTGTTTCCTCAACCAATTTTCAGCTTTGACAGCTCATCTCAACCTTTCACTAAGTGGGCTATGGGTTTAGCCCAACAGGCGAACGATATGATAAACTATGAGCATGTGCCTTATTTGTATAATAAATCTCATGCTCATCCTTGGTCCTGTATATTTCTTGTATAGTGTTTGTATAGTGCTCATTATTATTATACAAAAAATGCTCATGCTTGTAGTTTGTTATACAAGTGTATGCACGTCATATGTTCAAACTACGGAGTTGTATCATTTTATAACGCTATCTTGAATAACACTCTTGTAACATGTTTCAACTCTGTAGTCTGAACCAAGGCATAAAATGCAGAAAGAACACTTGAACATCCACTGATCGTGCTGATTTCTTGCTCAATGTTTTATGTACATCTAGTTTCATTTTTACTTCCGTTCGGTCAATTTTTAACTGTTAGATCACTCGGTAATAGCTTGCATTCAATACAACCGATCATTTACCCACCCAATATTGTACACAGATCACAATCAAGAGATCGTGGTGGTGGTACCGGAAGCGGAGGCAGCTCTGGTAGTGGCAAAACGCGTACATCCAAGAAACGCTCCCTGCAACAACAACAGCAGCCGCAGCGTTCATCGCCATCGATCACCACTGGCTCATCAACCACTTCCTCTTCCTCTGCCGCCAACAATGCAATGTATGCTAACGAACCCACCGCCACCTCCACCACCACCAGTCGTAGTTCGACGCCTAGCAATAACCACAACAGTAGCCACCCGAACGCTAGTAACAATAACCAGCTTAATCTGATTCTTAACAGTAGTGCCAGTAACTCTAGTCATACTAACACGGCCAATGGTAATAGTAGTAACAGTTTGCCACCATCTTCGGTCGGAACTACCATCATCGGATCACCGATTCTACCCCATGCAGAAAAGATATCCCAAATCAATTCCTCTGCTTCATCCTTGGCAAGCGCTGCAAATGCAAACGCATCCAATTCTTCGTCTATTTTGACTCCCACTATTACTTCCGCTGCTTCCGGTACACATGTAATTGAAACGGTCGGAATGATCTCTACCTCCAACTTCCAAAGCAACCATCCCACCAATACCGCTGGTCAATCACACCATTTGACATCTGGTGGCAGTAACGTTAACAGCAGCCACTCCGGCAGCAACAATAGTAGTAGCTTAACTGCCGGCACCAGCACCGAACACGGTCACGGCAATCCCAGTAGCAATAACACCAGTAGTAACAGTAACAGTAATAATGCTGTGGTGGTCACGCATAATAGCAAGAAGCTAAGGTCTTCGCAACCTTCTGCTGAAATACCCTCGCCATCTTCTTCCAGAACACCGGACAATAGTTTCAGTTCTTCATTCAGTTCCGGCGGAGGACTTAAGTTCTCCTACGAAGCACAACCCGGTACCAACCCTGCAGCTGTTGGCGCAACGTCAACCATTATTACACCTCTACCGACGGTGAAAGAATCTCCTCCCAGTTCTCCCGGTTCAGATCCCGGAACGGTTCGTAGCAATAAACGTAACCGAAAGCTATCGACGAACTCAAACACCGCTCTTGGAGCTCCCGAGCCCAAGGAAAGTAAATTGTTTCAAAATGGCGTAGTCCATGCTACTCATATGTTGGGCAATCAACTGAATCCCAACAGCAGTGTTGCGCAGAAAATGTCCGATCAGTTGACCATGGAACTCGAAACACATGCATTTGTGGAAGCGCCACAAATAGTAGGACCTCCTTTCCCGGGTAAAAATCAAACGGTGAGTTCCACTCCTTTCAGACGACCTTCATAATCAGTGATTCTAAGGTACTGTTTTTCTGTTCCGCTAGGCAAGAAGCAATACCAGTGCACCAGTACCAAGTGGACCTTCGCTAAGCTCGATGCTTGCAGGGGGAGGCACAGCTACCGCAAACGGTAATACGCCTCAGAGCCTAGAACAGCTGCTGGAACGGCAATGGGAACAAGGATCTCAATTCCTAATGGAACAAGCTCAACACTTTGACAGTAAGTATTCTTACCTTTTTTTTCCAACACAAATTTATGGATTAAAATCAATGTTATTCCCCCTAGTTGCGTCATTGCTATCCTGCTTGCATCAACTGCGGAGTGAAAACATACGGTTAGAGGATCATGTGAACAACCTGGTTGCAAGGCGGGACCACCTACTAGCTGTGAATGCCCGATTAGCTATCCCACTGAATCCCACCGCGATAGGCGGTGTGGGTCTCGGTGGCGGAAGTGGCACGGGTGGTGGTGGAGGTCCCGGTGGAGCAGGAGGACCCGGCGCTTCCGGTGGAAGTGGACCTGGTTCCATTGGATCTCAAGGTTTTTATAGTGCCAATCTAAAGCAATTGAAAACTGTTTAAATAGCGACTGCATTATGCTTAGGTCAATTCAATAACATGCACGGTAACGGACCGCACGAATCTGCTGGAAACTCAACTACCACCACCATTTCGAGCCGAAGTAGTCGGATTCAGCAACATCAAACTCAACAACAGCAATCACAGCCACATTTTGGCAGCAGCAGCAGCACCGGCAACCTAATACCACTGGAAAATGGTATCGATTTTCGGCATTCGAATTCGTCCCATCAAAATACCTCAAGTTCATCAATCAGGTAGGAGAATTTTCAAATTCCATCTCTTCTAAATTATGGTTTTTTTCTTTCTTAATATCTTCTTCTAATTAGAAAAATTTCGATTTAATTTATCTGTAAACTTGATTCGCCTTTTCTTTATTTATTTTCAACTTTGACCACACAAACCACAATCTGCCAGTGAGAAACCAAACACAATCTACGTGAACCTCTGAGAGTCGTCCTTCCTCCATTCTGTTCCGTGTGCCGTAATTCGTGTTCGGTTCCCACTATTTGGCCAAGCCATATGCCACAATGCAACTACTTCGCGTCATGCATAACGAAATGATACACACACATACACACAAACACAATAGGCAATGTTTCGCCTTTTTCGTATGCTCTTCAAATAACTAGTTATTCGTCTATGAACGTTCTAAATGTTTTGCGTTTGTACGCAATTGTATGAAAGTGACAAAAGTAGGGAAATTAATTTTGAATAAACCATTTAATACATTTTTGGAATCTTTTTTTTTGTGCGACAGCTGTAATTAGACCTTTGAACAACTTTTATAGTCTGTAAATTGATTTAGTTGTCCTGCCTTTTTAGGTTAAGATATTTTTCGTTTGCGTAATAATTTATACTTGTTTTACAAGGAAAGATATCAGTCTAGTTGGAAGATCGACCAGAAATATTTAATTTAATTATTTTAGTAAATAAAGTAATTGGATTCGACAATAGTGAACTTTTGTTTTATTTATGTTCGACATACCTATTTTCTCGATTTGGTTTTGTGTTGGTGTTGTTTGTAGACGAGCGAGACTTAACGAATTATAGTTCCATTCCGTGGGCAAGAACTAGAGATACCTGCAAATCATAACAATTTTTTCACGCTTAAAAATATCTGAGTTTAAAAAAAATGTCTGGAACTTGATAAAAAACTTGAGATTTCTACTTGAATAATTTCCGAAACTTAGAAGGTAAAAACCTGACACTCCAAAAGATTTCCATAATGTGGTAATTTTTTTAATTCAGGTTTTTGTTTTTGTTTTTTTCGTTGCTTATGTTCTTTTTCATTCTGTTTGTGTGTTTTAAAATATTAGAAATTCTTTCAAATTATATTCTTGAACTGACATTATGTGTGTTATGTGACTGTATTTAGAGTTTTGTTGAAATGATCGTATTCCGTTGCGTATTGCAACATAATTTTGATGTCTATCCTTTCCTATCCCCTATTCCTACATTCGAAAAACGGATTAACCATAAAAACATAATATTTATGGGACCTTAGGGAGGCCGAGTGTGCCACCTTAAATAATGTGTAAGTAATGGCATTTTCTGTACTACCTCACCCATGATACACTTTGTTCAAAGAAGCATTGCAAGAACGTTTCATCCCAAATTCATAAACTATATATCATATGGTTTTGCAGAGGTGTACCCGTGCAGTCGTTTACCATAAAGCTGTGAGGCATTACGTCATTTGGTATAATAGTTATTTGTCATCCTGGCCATTTGGCATAATAGTCGGTTGACATAATGCTGGGGAAAATTGTTATTTTAATATTGCACAAACATAATAGTAAAGACTGGACTCTGAAAAAATGATCACCAAAAATTCATTTTAAATCGGATACTTCTCAAATTTTCAGGGATTAAATAACTATATATTAGCTATGTTTTGGCATAATTTATTTATTGAATTACCTCCCCCAAGCTGAATGCTCGTACATTTCTCTTAACACTGCTCATGAGATCTTGGGCGAGGCTTTGCCCATCTTGCTTACACAATTTCTCCCAGTTTTTCTTCAAAGCTTCATCATCTTCAACTTCTTCTTCATTATCGCCCAAAACTTTTCGATCGGACGAAGTTCTGGTGTATTTGGCGGGATCGGGACCACATTAACGCCCTTCGCTTCGTACCAATCCATTACAGGCTTGGCGTAATGGCACGAAGCGAGATCCGGCCAGAACAGCGTGGGACCACGGTGAGAGCGGAGGAAGGGCAGTTAACGCTTCTGCAAGCATTCCTCTCGATAAATCTGCCCGTTTATGGTGCCGGTTGTAACGAACGGCTTGCTGTATCGTCCGCACTAGCAGATCGCCTGCCACAACAGGTACTTCTTCGCGAATTTGTCCATCTTTCTCTTCCGGAACTTTTCCGGAACCTCCATGCGGGACTTACATACAAAAAAAAACTCGAGGCCGGGGATTTGTTTGGTGTCCGCCTTGATGTATGTCTCGTCGTCCATGACGAGACAGCCTGGCTTGACCAGCCACTCACGGTACAGCTTCCGCGCACGCAATTTGGCCACCGTGTTTTGCTTGTCAGTCCGATTTGGCGCCTTCCTGACCTTAAAAACACGTAGCCCAGTCCGCTTCATAGTCTGCTGGACGAACCACTTCGACGAATTGACCTTTTTGGCCACGTCTCGGGTGGAAAGGTTTGGTTATTCTTAAAGTACTGCCTTATCTTCCGCGCCTTCTCTGGGTATTCCGTTTTCGGTTTTCGGCCGCTTCCAGCGCGCCGCTCGATGGTCTTCGTCTCCTGGAACATCTTCACAACGCGGGACACGGTGATTCCAAGTGGATTCCAAGCCTTTTGCCGATCCATCTGTGCGACTGACCAGGATTATCGATCACCGCGCCCAAGATTGGCTGGCGTAGCTCCTCTTGTTTCGAATGCATCTTGAAAACTACTTGACAGATCGCGATAAAATTTTGCACTCATATACATAACACTCTAAACTAGTATTACCCAAAATTTCATTAATTTTTACCCACGCGATAAAAAGTTACACCCAAAACAAAGTGTCGCATTTTTTCCGAGTCCAGTCTTTACATTTTACCTCTATTTGATTTCTCGTAAAATATAAACATAGGAGAAATAAACCTGGATCAACAATAGAAAAGGGCCCATCAGCATTTGTAAACAAACCGTTCCAAAGCCCTTTACTCACAAAGCGAAGGCCACCCACGAAAACCAATATCATCATCGGATAGGGGAAACTTCTACCTACACGATGATGGTGTTGGTTTGTGTGGGCGGCCTTCGATTTGTGAGGAATGGGCTTTAGAACGGTTTGTTTACAAATGCTGATGGGCCCTTTTCTATTGTTGATCCAGAAACCTCTTTTCCAAAGTTGACGAAATAAATAAATAAAAAAAATAAATAAATTAAAACAAATATTCAGTTGTTGGCTACAAACATGATTTATAAAACCAGGAAATTTTCGAACTGTTGCCAGGAAAACCGTGAAAAAATCCTGGAATTTTAAAATAATAATTCAGTGCCATCCTGTTAATTTATAGGATTTGATGCAATAAAACCACTGAGCGCATGGGTTACGTAAAATATTAGAAAAGATTCTTAAAAAGCGGACTGACAAAATCGGGTCATTACTGTAAAAACAACTCTATTATAAATCAGCATTGTACGGTAAGTGTACCAATGTTTGGTCCAAGATGATCCCTTATGGGCCCCATCTTAAATTTTAATTTTATTCATTCTTCACCAAATTTAAATTCATGCAAGGTTAGAACACAAATTTTGCATATATCTACGCAGTTAAAACAATAAACATTCATTCCAAATTTGAGTTAGATACCAAACTGGAGCACTAGTTACATAACTGGCACACTTACCCTAGTTGAAATTAAATTTCGTCAAAAGTTGTTTACGATTTATTCAAAATTTCATCTCAAATCTTTGTTTTTTTAAACTGCAACTGCAGTGCTATGGGGCAAAAGGGCCATGCGTCTTAAATGAAGTGATTCATATTAATGCTTGTTTATAAACATGTACAATGAAGCAATTTCTTTGACATTTTTGTATAGTTTAACTCATAAATGTAGCGATGGCACACTTGCCCCGTGTGAGGTTCATTTTAAGGCTGTGAACCATTTGTCGAGTTAAATTTAACTGGTGGTTAAAAGTAACATTTCAAAAGTTATTCTCTTTGTTCGAAAATTCCAGTACTGTCGATCGATCGGTTTTCGAGGAGAACTCAACCACGATTGTCAAAATTTAACTTCTTGTTTGTCAGAAATAACCACGCTCGGATAGCAGAGTTAATCGATAACTTTTCATCTGTCAAATTTTAACCAAAAGTAAAAATAATCCACCAAATGGTTCATAGCCTAAGAAGGTTATGTCGGAAAAAATAGTTGGGTATTTGAAATCCTTATTTTATGATGTCCAATTATTATAAATAATTTCTATTTTCGACACATAAGCACAAAATGATTTTTTGCTATTTTTGTAAGACGTCATTTTGGACAGAAATTTCTACAATGCTGCATAGGAACACCACTCATAGTTTCAAGGGTGAGCTAGTATTGAAAATATATTTATTTTCAAAATTATTGGGGTGGCACTCTTACCCTACCTGACCCTATTTGTATTTCATTATTAAAACTTTATTTACCATATTATAGGGGAAATGGATGTAATATTGGCCTAAATGCCCCTAATTTGGGCCCGCCATACATAAATTCAGCAATAGACTAAATTTTCAATAGCCACCAAAATATCCATTAGTACCGTCCCAATGACGCGTTCATCTAGATAAAATGGATAAATAGCAGATTTTTAGCGATGGGCCCAATCTTAGATCCATAGACCAACATTAGAGCCATTTCCCCTACTATGTGTTTTCAAAAACTAAAAAAAATTGTTTCACTGGAGAACGCTTCAGTTTCAAATATATTTTTCCTACGCATCATGTCAATCGGCGGTATGACAATTAGGGGCTGTTCATTAACTACGTAGACAGTTTTTTTTTATTATTGACCCCCCTCCCACTGCGTAGACAATTGTCCATACAATTTTTTTTTTAAATTTATATGGGCTGTGGATAATTTCCAACTCTCCCCCCTTAACACCTTCTGTTTTGATACAGGGAGTTCCCCGGAGACTGTGATAGAACGATTGTAATGAAGAGGTGTATTCTCTCACTGCAATAATTCTTAACTCATTTGACAGCCAGAAGGGCTTTCGTGCAGTAGAACCGTTAACGAAATTGGCTAGTCTTATTCAAAT